TGATACTATTGTCAAAACAATAGAAATGCAGTACTGATTTTGCAGGTTTATAAATATCTGAGGTGTGGGGGCCATAGTGGTGAGGCCAGTCTTTTTTCAGTGGTACACGGAGCCAGGACAAGGGGAAACAGCCATAAGCTGCAGCATAGGAAGTTTTGCACCGATGTGCACAAGCACTACTTTACAGTGTGGTGACGGAGCACTGGAACAGGCTGCCCAGGGAGGTGGTGGAGTCTCCTTCTCTGGAGATGTTCAAGACCTGCCTGGATGCCGACCTGTGCGACCTGCTGTAGGGAACCTGCTTTGGCAGGGGGGTTGGACTCGATCTCTGGAGGTCCCTTCCAACCCCTACGATTCTGTGATTAATAGAGGAACAACCTGAAACCATTGCTGTTGTCCAAGTTGATTATAATACAGAAAAGCAAGATTTTAAAATACACTTTTCCTTAAGATTACATGTAAAAAAAACGTTAACATATTTTCAACATACATATAGATATTTATATTTTGCATGTATGTGGTTTCTTTCCAGAAGCGTTAATAGTATTTTAAGACTATCTTCTTAAAAACAGCATTTATACTACTGCATGCTTTCGTATAGCAATTTTTAATAAGTATTGCCATAATTAAACCATGTTGTCCAAGTATTCATATTGCACTGCTCACAATTTCTACTGTTTCCAACAAATCAATTGAAGAGCTAGAAAAACAACAAAAAACAAAAGCAAATGGACAAAACAACAACAAAGACACACAAAGAAGTACCCGAAGAGAGTCAACCAATTTCCGGAGAGACCATATTTATCAAGAGAAGCACAGTATTACAGCACATTATTACAAGGACAGTATTCTAGAGATGTCAAATCTCCCAACTTCTTCTCGTAACTATTTATTAAAGGTATACCATACAGGCTACAGGTTTCTCAGGGTTCATTCCTTCTTTTTCCATTCACATAAACATACGAATTGACAAGTACCTTCATAATAGACTGAAGATCTCTTTTGCTTAACAACCAACAGGGAGTCCTAAATAAATTAAAGACATTTCTAAGGTATTGGAAAAGTTTTAGCTTTCTTTTTAGCACCTCTTGCAAGCATTCAAAACATAGGCAAGTATTTCTGGCTAAGCAAAACATGACCTTTCTTATCTTAAGATGACCGTTAGCAGCCACACGCTTATCTAACTGTAAAACTCATGTGGGAATTCTGCCAGAAGCTGAAGAGCTACCAGCTACCCCAATGTAGCACCTTTTCAGAACAGTTGATAGTTCACAAGTAAGAGAAACCATCTTGAAGCACGTTACTGCAGTTTATTTTTTGGGCTTTTTTTTTTGTTTTTTTTTTTTTTTTGGTTTTGTTTTTTTTTTTTTTTTTTTGGTGTTTTTTTTTGGGGGGGGGGGTTTGCTGTTTGAAGAGTAATGAATATATGGTCATAAAATAGGAAACATTTGTGTAGAGGATTACTCAGCACAGATTGCTCAGAGGCTGTTTAAAAAAATGAAATATGAGTAATTTCTTCTTATCTACACTGAAGTTGCATCAGTTAAAGCAGAATTGGAAAAAATGGTCAGATTTCACTATCTATCAGTCAACAATACAAACAAAAAGACATTTAAAACACAAATGCACCTGGCCCTACATCCAGTACATTGCAGCAATCCTATATTTTCATGCACAGCCTTTGATTATTTAAAGAAATGTACCCATGCATAGCAGCATGATGCAACAACATCCTTTGAAATCTTGTGTATTTACATGGTCATTCTGAGGAGATAGTTTGGAAGTATCAGAAACAGTACAGTCAAAATAAAGGGACATTGATGTGCAAGAAATAAGAGTAATCAAATAAAGACTAGGGGCCAGGTAGGGAAATTTTTGCCTTTTTCCCCCCGCTAGCAGTGGGCAAAAGTGCATAAGTAATCCAAAAGATGGAACTCCTATGCTGATGCTTTCCTGAAGTAGTTCGCCTGGAAATGTGATGTTTCCTCATAGATAATCAGTAGATGAAGCAAACACTTTCAGAATTAGGTATCAAAGACTTTATCATATCTTGAGCATTTTGCAGAGTCCGTTAAATAAATCAATCTAAATCAAGTTGTGAATCCAATCATAGAATGGCCTAGGTTGAAAAGGACCACAATGACCATCTAATTTCAACCCCCCTGCTATGTGCAGGGTCACCAACCACCAGACCAGGCTGCCCAGAGTCACATCCAGCCTGACCTTGAATGCCTCCAAGGATGGGGCATCCACAACCTCCTTGGGCAACCTGTTCCAGTGTGTCACCACCTTCTGAGTGAAAAACTTCCTCCTAATATCTTACCTAAACCTCCCCGTCTCAGTTTAAAACCATTCCCCCTTGTCCTATCACTATCCATTCTCATAAACATCTGTTCCGATTGCTAGTTATGCACTCCCTTCAAGTACTGGAAGGTCACAATGAGGTCTCTTCCTCTTCTCCAAGCTAAACAACCCCAGTTGCTCAACCTTTCCTCATAGGAGAGGTACTCCAGCCCTCTGATCATCTTAGTGTCCTCTGGACCCGCTCCAAGAGCTCCACATCCTTCCTGTACTGGAGGCCCCAGTCTTGGACACCGTACTCTAGATAGGGCCTCACAAGAGCTGAGTGGAGGGGGACAATCACCTCCCTCTTCCTGCTGGCCACCCTTTTTTAGTGCAGCCCAGAACACAGTTGGTCTTTTGGACTGCAAGCACACACTGCTGGCTCAAGTCCAGCTTCTTGTCCATGTTCATCTATTTAAATAAAGAGGAGCTGACAGACTTAATTATAAGAACATTTTTTAAACTGTTCTAAAGATTCAAAATCAAAATTCATTGGGAAATGGAGCTATAGTATTCAGTACTTTCATTCTTTTCAAAATCAGCATTATCTACTTTCTATTGCATAGGTCACTCTGAAAGTAATGATTTATTTCTGTGGAAACTACAACAGATGTAAAGAACACAACAACTCTATTTGACAGAACAAATTCTCAGCTACAAAATGCTATTTTTCAATGCATTTTCACCAGTGATGAACAAGAGCCTACATACCACACTTTAAAAAAAGTCTGCACTAGCAGAGGTAATCCACTGTTTCACTGCTGCTGTGACAGCATTATTGCTATAGGAAAACGTTGCTTACAGAATCCATCTTTCTTTGGTCCGAACAGGCAGAAGTCAGAAGGCTCCACATCCAGACTAATGTGGTGACTGCATTCAGCTAAGATCAACAACATGCTCCATGGTCTTCAAACTGGCACAGGGCCTGGCGTTGCATTGCAAGAGAAAGGTTGCCTTATTCTCTGGCCTCAATCTGGAAGTTCAAGCCTTCAGCTACATCGTGATGTAGTTGCAATGTAGAGTTGATAGTTTGTTCAGATTGCAGGAAATCTGAAACACTTTCCCTATCCTAACAGCAGTGAATATCACTTTACCTGCTGAGTGACACATCTTGAACACAGCAATAAAATGTAATTGGCAGGAAGGTTCAACCTCTACTGCCATGTCACCAACACCCAGCAGCCCTTGTATTATTAGTCAGGTACATCTGAACAAATCACCTTCATACCTGCCACTGTATCTCCTCCTGCAAGTCACCATAAGGAGTTAAATGTGATCAGAGGTAAATGTTGAACTGTCCTCTCAATTACAGACAAACAATTAGTTATCTGTAGGACCCAAAATACACAGTTAGTTCTTCTCTTTACTAAAAGAGAATTACTTCAATGAACACCAAGTTATTTTAGGCTTGTTTTTTCCCCCACTCTTTTTATACTGCTTTATAATGATTATGCTATAAGGAACATCTCTCAAGCATTGAACCAAAAGATACTAATGAACTATTAGCTGTACTAAAGCATCACAAAAGACAATCCAATACTACCCAGAGGGGCCCCTAAGGCATGTTCTGTACATTTTTTTTTTTTCTTAAAAAAAAAAAAAAAAAGTTGGTTCGTTCTTCTTCAGGAAGATTTCAGTAATGATTATACGATACTGCAGAGCTGTCATTTCCCATTGTAGTCTCCCTACTTCAGATCATAGTTAACCCTTTCATCGAAGGCATTTTTCCCCACTATGCACTGTATTAATATATAAAATACATCAGGTATTATGAACAGCAGAAAAGCAAGAATTTCCAAATGTGAACTACAAAGTGTCTGCCAGTAATATACATCTTCAGAGTTACTGCTGCTTTCCTTTTTTTTTCTGCAATACAATTTTTTTGACAAACCTTGATAATATATATTTTTTTTTTTCTAGAGAGATGCTGTATATCATTCATAGGATCTACTGTCATTTTGCTTCGGTCAAAACAGTTACATGGAATGGGGGTTGTCCAGTCCTTTAGTATTTATCCTTTCCATAAGTTTACCAATAGGAGAAAACTGATATCTCTCCCCCTTATAAGTAGCCAGTACCTCAAAGCAACCCCAACCACTGATTTGTCATGCAAAGCATATAAAGCTGCTTTCTCAACACTCAGACTTGTGCACACTATATACACATGAAAGCCAACAGAAGAATGAGAAATTCTGTCAGAGAAGCTTAGCATCCAACAGAAACCAAGCTAGTCAAAATGTTTCCTCTTTATTAATTGTGACAAGGAGTACGTGACGTAGAGACAGCGGTCAGATTAACAAGCAGGTGATGAAGGTATGACACTGGGCATCGTTTTTGTACTGCAGACTTACGATTCTCCCAGGGGAAAAAGTCTTACAAAATTAACAGAAAACAGAGTAAAAACATTGCTATAAAGAGGTGCATTCACTGAACACAGAAAGGCTTCTTGTAACTAGAACCGTATTAAGCAGGTAGAAACTTAGTATTAATTTGGTTTATTTTACTGACTGCATATTCTAGTAGGGATGAATTTCTATTTCAGTATACACAAGAAAATATAACTTCAAGATATTGTGCGTTAGAAATCGATAATGCTGTAAATTTATTTCAGACTTATTCTTTTCCTACCCAACAAACATGGTGGCAATACACAGTACCTTTCTCTTGTCCACGAGTCACTGAGGCAGTTGTGTTTGATTTTATGTTGAAGATGTTAAGTCTGAGCAGCACCAGGAGCTAAGTTGTTAAGTACGTTTGTACCGGGTTTTTCCACACAGCTACTCCTACTGGCACATCCTCTTTTTTGCCAGGACAAAGGGATTTCTGAGCAACGTTGGTGACATTATCTGTTAGACAAAAGAGATTTAACCCAAATTAGATTTGATCGATAGCTTTAACTGTAGTAATGAAGTGACAAATTATTTACATAAGGTAACAAAATGCAAAAGAAAAAGCATGTAAAATAAAAATAAAATAAGCGTAGCATTTTTCTATTAACAGTGCATACGTAGAGTCCAATTTATAATTGGCTTTGTCAGCTGATCTTCAATCAAAGTGACAAAGTTGCTATGCTACTTAACAATTAGAAGAGAGCAATGCAAACTGTTATCTGAGGTTGTATTTCTTTTTAAAACATATCACCTCTTCATGCATTACAGGCTTACACCTGTGTATGAGTTGCCACATGCACCCTGGCCATCATCATGGATCTTTGTAAGTGCCAAAAATATATCAACATAAGGTTGTTATCACATCCTATTCAACAAAGAACTAGAATGAATTTCAGAAACCTAAATACTATTTTTCTTTCCATGTTTGTCCTGCACAGTGAAAGAAATGGTGTTGATTTCCTCTCTGAAATAATAAAAAAGATGCATAAAGGCTTTAGACTGTCTCCCTTCACATTTACTGAAAGTAGTCAACATATTTTGACCATAGAAGTATGATGACACCTTTACTTAAGCTCAGTACAGAAAATAGAGTCTCCTAAGCCCTTTCACAGTAAACCCTTTCTGCTAAAGCATAACTCTATGATTGACTAAACAGGATTCAGAGAAGGAAAAAAAATTTCTATAGTGTCTAATGCAGGCATCTAGCTCTCCAAAGCATAGGGCTGCCACAAGTAACGTAGAACCCAGCGAAGTCCAGGGCCTTTGGCTGACAGCTGCAAGGCAGGCAGGATGCCATGCCTGAACAGTACTGAAATGTGACTGGCTTGTTGTCTTGTGCTTAGTTCAAGCCTTCACAAAAAGTTGCACTTCACACAGAATATATCAGGCTTGCCTCCAACGGTAACAGTCCCTAGAACATTAACTCCTAGCAAATTCCCTTTGCTTTGGAATATTTCCACTCAGCTCAAGTGGTTTGTTACAGGCTTTGAGTGGATGCTGTTGTTAATCGAGTAAATACAAAATCCTCAGAGAATAACTGAGAACTTACTTGTTCAATAAGGACAATCATCCAGGCAGGGTCTAATGGAAAAAAAAGAAAAAAAAAAAAAAAAAAAAAAAAACACCAAAAGCTCCACATGCGTATTTCCTTAGGGCCTCTCTTTTGTGAGAGAATGCTTTTAAGAGGGATGATAGAATGAGGGTCAGATCATGGCAGGAGATCAAAGTGCTGAAACAGCTTAGTCAGCATCCTTAAGTAGCATAGGAGGCTTGAAAAGTATAAGTTACTTGGTCTCTAGAGCACCAAGCTTCCTTAGGGTAGAGGGGGCCCAAGAACCTGGATTTTTATGATGTCATACCACTGATTTGACCCTATCTTCATTATTAAGAGTTGTCCTGTTTCTAAATATTTCAATAGTCATTACACATAGGACAATATTTTGTCATTTTCCTCTAGCCTTACAGCAGCTAATTTGAACAGGTCTGATTTAAAGGGAAACAGGAGTACTCAGCTATTAACACTGTGAATACAGAAAACATAAAAGAGCAAGAAGTTACCAGAATACAGTAACCAGCCTAGCAAGAAAGCAACAGAGATAAAAGTCAGTCTTGCTAAATGGTTACTGTATAAATCTCTAGACTTAAGAAAAAAACAAAACAAAACACAAAGCCTTAAGTTCAAAATTACCCTGGTGAGTTTTCTACATTTTAACATGTATTCTAACTTCAGCAGACCTATCATTCCACAATACTAACTCTTTTAAAGAAGTTCTTACATTCTAATAACTTGTTAGTTTAACAGCAGTTGCTTTTAAATTCTCCAGGTAGTTTAGAAACAAGAAGTATCTTAGTTCTCGACCAGGAGTTCTCCCTGTATGGAGGGTATTTACAGATGCTTTTAGAAGGATGAACATAGATCTAGGACATGTAATTTCGAGTTGCTTTATTAATAGCATATGTAATGAAAATAGTATAGCAACGTCACATACCTTTTTTAAAAGTAGACATTTCAGTGGCACAGCACATCAGCAAGATGAAAACAAGAGTAACTGGAAATAAGTCTTGCAGAAAATATTGCAGACTTGAAACATATTTAATTATGTCTCTCACTAGATATCATCAAGTTTTTTTTCATAATAAATTACCAGCAACCACTGGAAACCTACAACCCAATAATCCTTAAGTAATCTTCCCAGAGTTTCTCAAAAGATATTGTAATACAAAAAAAAAAGTTAATTGGATACTTAATTCCCCATTTCCAGTAACTGCTAAGCAAAATCTACTTCTAATTGGGGTTGGTAGGAGGAGAATGGTAAAAAGGAGAGGGATGCTGATTTTTTGGAAAAGCTATTTATTAATCCACAAATAAACAGCACATAAGTTATACCTATTCAGCTTCATTCTGAATTCCAAGTATATCACGCTTTCCAAAAAGCGCTCAAAGAACTAAAGCTATTATAGAAATAATTTGATAGATGAACCGATGTTGGATGAAATTACTCATTTATCAAATGTAATAATTCACTCATATCCTGTAGTTAGGGCAGTAAGACTGAATAAGCAAAGTTGATTGAATTACGTGCTTTGCTATATAATGGCTTTCCAGACAAAAGTTCAGTGTTACAAGAACAAAGGTTTTATTTCTGTTTATGTGGCAATGATTTGTAAATCTGTCAACACTTCCCAAATAGTTAAGAAATTATCTTCGGTACCTTCAGCCCTTTTCTAAATTGACAAATTGAAATATATGGAATCTTCAGTGAAAATTTGGCTTGTAACACATTATGATTTAATTCCCAATAGCATTCTCTCTTAAAATTGACACACAATCATCTGTCTTTCAGTCACAAACAAGGGATAACTCTAAATCCTTTAGAGCAGAAAGACAAGATGAACAACAGTAACATCCTTACTCTGTGGTAAGAGGAAAGTATTTCACCTGAATATTTCAGAAGCCCTCGGTAGAACCTTGTACAGCTGATGCACATTTCAAAGTTTTTTGTTTAAAAAAAAAAAAAAAAAAAAAAAAAAAAGCTTTTGGAGTTTAAAACAAGTAAAGCATGGCAACCAGCAACAGAAACAAGTCTTATTTGGTAATAAAGCAATTCCTTTGCCATGTGGGAGTATAGTGCCAAGCATATCCGTGAGCTCCCTGCAGTAGCTGCTGTAAGTTTTGCTTGGCAAATTCTTCGTAATGGGAATTTACATTAACTTTCAGTTGTTTTCTAAGAAGTTACTCTAATCAACAGACAGGGAAGGTGAGATCTTATAACAGAGTGTTCAAGCATTAAAAAAGCACACTTCTAAAAACACATTTCATTTTACTATAGTACCTTTCTTCCTAGCCTAAAACTTCACATCCATAACATTAATTTGATTATCCACCAGAATGACAAATTGCCTAGATACAAGTTATACTCAAGAAGATTGCATCTTCTCAGCCACCAATCTTAGATTTCTAAGAGTGATGTTTACTTGTTTGTTGTTGTTGTTTAAGCCTGATTCCCCACTGTATCCAGGCAAGCAAAGACTTTATATGCAAATAAATAAGAGCAGTACAGACACAGCCCTTCATGAATGGGACTTAGCATGTCAGTAGTCAGAACATGCCAATAACAAGTGCTTGTGTAGAATATACACCAATTGCTCTGTAATGTATCCGTTCAGTCACCCCTTAATACACCACATAATAATCAGAAAAACGTGAAGCCTTCAGAACTGACTGCACCAAAGACAGAAAATGGTATCAGATATAATCATTACCATGATAAACACCCAGTCAGATGTGCAAACACCATAACCACACTTCTTACAGGGGACAAAATTAGATCTTAAGAGGCGTGGACAGAATGACAATTTCTGCTTTGTTTGATATTGTCATATCTGAGATAACTTTGACAGTTCCCAGATGGAGGGACCAACAACGGCTCATAGGCTGCACATCATGCAACAGTGCTTTCGTATGAAATTTACATCAGTCTTTCTGAATTGTAGACAGTGGTCACAGTCAACACCAGATAATGAGGGGAAAGTCTAGTTTAACTAACTTAATTTCTTCTTATGACAAGGTTGCCCACTGAACTGACCACAGTACCCTACAAGACAAATATCCCATTTACAGCCAGAAAAATACAAAATATTATGGGTGAACAGCCAGCTGATGGGTCAGGCTCAAAGGGTTAGCATAAACAGGGTTACATCAAGCTGCTGCCCACTCACTAATGAGGTTCACCAGGGCTCTATTCATGGAGTCAGTTCTTCCGTACGTTTTCCTAAATGATCTGGACACAGGACTCAAACACAGATTAATAAAGTTCGCAGACAACGCAAAATTGAAAGAAACCTTTGATTTCCTGAAGAGTGAATAGGCCTTGCAGAGAGATCTCAGCAAATTAGAGGGCTGGACAATCACCAACTGCATTAAGTTTAAAGCATGGCTTGATTTTGGGTGTGTCTTGCGTGGAGCCAGCAGTTGTATTCAATGATCTTTGTGGATCCCTTCCAGCCCAGAACATTCTATGATTCTATGACTACGGGGGATTTTTCCAGGCATTGCCCTCTAATGGAATCTTGCTTCCAGATCAGCTTCAGGATGCTTTTTTCACTTTCCTTGCCCTGAAATGACCCAGCAATTAAGCTATTTTGTCTTGCTATTACACAACTGACTCGAAGGCATTGTCTAGAGCAATGAAGGTTTACAAGACTATTTTTGTTTCCCACTCCTACGCACAGCATTTAGTATGACTTTAGCAAAGTGAATGAGATTGCTGATGTAAGACTGCCAATTAGATTAGCCCTGGAAAAGGCCTTATTAATGTACTGACTTTCTTCTTCACTATTTCAGCTCTTACAGAATCACTGTTTTTAAGCCTGAACAAGTATTCTTCATTTGTATATAGGTCACTGATAAGGAAATTACATCTGAAGTCCTTCCATGATGGAAAAGGAAAGATTTTCCTCTCCAGAAACAACTCCTGTTTTTCCATATATATTCCTTCAGGCCCTAGTAATTACTTAAATGTAATGCAAAATTTATTGGGTTAGTCATGCCTTCAGTTTTCTCTCACATAGTCGCTGTTCAGCCTCAGCAGTTAATTCAGTACATAAATATGTACAACCTTCACTTAGCATTTATAAACATGTGAGCACATACATATTTGGCGGCCCTCTACACAAAGAATTAGGTTTCTGAATCTGAATGACTTGGAATCTGATTCTCATACCTTAACCCTGAAAGCCTCTATGCAAAGGCTAGGATTTACTCATTTAGTATAATTGAGCAAAGTCAGTTAAGTAATAATATTTCACATCAGCATGTTTTAGGAGGAGTTTGGAAATAGACAAAGGTGAGTATTGCTTCAAATAATATCATTCCCCTTAAATTCCATTGCATACTAGTAGGAAATCTACACAGTGGTACTTACAGTATGGATTTTATTTTTAAGAGGTTTTAAATAAACTACCCAGAAATTTTTTTTCTTGCAACTCTATGGTAGTCCCTTCTTTTAAAAGCTCCATCCTTATAGGTCCTAGCAACTTAAAACATCATATTTAGTGAGATAAAATTCACAACTACTACACTTAGAATTCCAACCAAAACAAAAGACAAGAGCTTTGCTATCTTTGTGCAGTTAGAAGTTGATATTATGTGAAGAATTGGTAAAGCATAAGTCTCTGCTTCACAACATAACAAACAGCTAGTAAGATAAGATCACAGTGTGCCACCTTTCCACTAATTTCAGATAAATTCCCAACGTCAGCTGCTGCTCTTCTTACAAGTTCTTGTATTTCATTATTTTTCTGTACAGCTAATTCGAAGGAGGGAGAACAGTAGCTATCTGAATACAGTTGAAGACTGGGAAGTTTGAACATTTTACACCTGAGCAGGCTAAAATGATCTATCAAAATGTTAAGATGTTAAAGTGCTATGCCTTCTAATTCCATAAATTATATTTTAATAAGTAGAAAATTCATACCTAGTCCAATTAGAAATTACATTAAGCTGGGAGATATTTGTTAATGCACCTACCATTAATTTCAGCACTAGTTTTCCTTTTTTGTTTTTTCCACCCTTTAAGACACTGCCCTCTTACTGACTTTGAATTAGTGGTGCTGGATCAACTACCACATGCTCTAAATAACAAAAAGAAAAAAAACAACACCCAAACAACAGCAACAAAAAAACCCCCACACTCACAGGAAATCAAAGATATAGTCATTCCGTTTTCATTCAGTTTTCATTCCCAGTTCTCTCTCAGGCTTTCTTCAGTTACTAACTCGCAGTGTTTATTATAGTGCTGGTAAAACATCTAAAACAGAACATTCTCATCAAATCTGCAGTTTCCTGCATCTAAGAATACCCACTCAAGGTAACAGCTACTACTTCTCACTTGCAGATGCAGTATGCCAAAAGAAGAGGTTTCCTCAAGGTCACGCAGTGAGTCAGCTAAAACATACGAAAAGGACTCGGGGCAGCTGATTTTATGTGATTGAACTGCAGGTCAGCCTTCAGCCCCCCCGAGAAGAAAACCTGCGCTTTCTACTCTCAAATTCATCAATTAGCTGTGCATTATGCATATAATTGAGCAGAACCTTTTATGCTCAGTTTGTAGCACATTGCTATTGTTTCAGTCCCAACAGTAAATTTAGAGGTCTCTACATTTCACAGAGTTGCACAGAAAGCATTCAGTACACAGATTCTGCATGCTCAGTTAAAGCTTCATAATGATCATAAAATGACACATGTAGGTATGTCTGTAAACTCTGATTTTCTGTGTATTCACTTGTGTTTCTGCAAAGAATAGAAGTGTGATATCAGAAATCAGCTAGCATATTTCTCCACCTAATCATAAACTGTATTTTTTTTTCTACTCAGAAACAGAACATTCAAGTGATACCCAATAAAAGCTGATAGAAGTTAGATCCTCCCAGAAACCTTGGTAAGTCCGATTAAACATTGACAAACGTAACAGTTTGAAACAGGCACTGTTTGTTACAAAGACATCATTATCTTCCAATAAAGGACTTCACACCAGTTTTACATCAACAAAGAGCTGCTTACTATAAAAATCATAATAGTGGAGAGAAGAAATCCAGTCCTAGTGACCTTCAGATACTTGCCTTTACAGAACAATTATGATATGGTCACAGCCCACTTCAGCCTTCTCACCAGTAGCACAGTAAGGAAAAGTGCCATAAAGAGGTGGCAGTGTGTAAGCATGCTTGGTATTCAATTCCAGTTCTCAGTTAATTTCAGTCCAGTTGTTTACTGAACTGAATCCCCCAGGCATCATTACTGTGAGGATTCAGTGCTTGACAGTAGCACACTTCAAAACAAATCATAGAAAAATATTAGACCTATCACTGAAAATGCATCTATCAGTGAACTAATATTTAGATATCTAGAGACACAAGGAGCAACTCATATTTCTTAAAACTCACAATAAGTGTATGCTGATACTTATACAGTGTATCTAACATCTTATATCTGATACACATCCTTGCCTCCTTAGCAGGATTCGGTTGCAAAAATCTGGGTGTCCTAAAATTATAGGCATCACAGACATCTCAAGGTTCTTTAGAGAAACCAATCTCATTCCACTAAATAAAAAGTAGAAACACACCTCCCAAATCCCCTGAAATTTTTCCGTTTTCTCTTCACACATTCTTACATAATATATGCACAAATGAACACATACACAGGAGCCTATATGCTATATATTACACAGGATACCATCAAACACTTTTCAGAAACGGCCACAGATTTGGAAGTAAATGAGAAGCCCAATTTCCTGCACTCCCATCCCCTAAAGCATTGACCCTACCAAAACCCTGCATTATGGTTCACAAAGGTCAGAATCAGTTCTGGAACTGTATCACACAATATCACAGTACAGCAGCCACACTACATGCTGGTTGGAAGAAAAGGGCAACAACGGGATGAGCCAGCCTGTGGGGCATAGTGCATGCAAGAAGCCCCAGGTAGGATATTTTCACATGGAGTTGATCTACTCTTTTGGACATTTCAGAGATCTGTTTGTACAAATGTGCACAATGTCCAAATTTAAAGAATATGAGCATGGGGATGGAGCACAGCAAAACCTGCTTCTAACAATTCCACAAAGGAGTTCCTCACAGCTCTCATCACTGCAACATATGCTGAGCTGAAGTTCTTGCAGGCTTGTCAGCAGTAACACAGCTCAACTTATTTTACTTTGCCAGATCATAACGCTCAAGCTCAGCAGCCCTAACTGCAGCTCAGTGCTGTTCTCTCCATACCACACCTGTGCAGAGTTGAACTTTTGTTTTTATGCTCACTCCTCTCCTTTATTATATTTTAGTTACTTGTTTAAGTATCTTGCTGCCCTACTAAGTTTGCAAAACAAAGTATAACTAAGTTCCATTAAAAAAGAAATCAAATATTCTTCTAAAATTACATTGGGAAGTATTAATTTGCAATACCAAATCATTGTACCAAGTATTATTATTCATGATTCAGTTAAGCAAGTTTATCTCAAACCTGCTACACTGACTTTGATTGTTTTTTTCTGACACTGAAAGTATAAATTCATTTTTCATTATCTTTATAAAACCACCTTTAATACAAACCATGGAGGGATTAAAAAAAGCCAACATATTCTGCATTGCATTACCATATATAACTTGAGTACTGCATAGAAAGGTTTTGAGAAATTCTTTGGTTTGGGGGTTTTTTTGTTGTTGTTGGGTTTTTTTTTGTTTTTTTTTTTTTTTGTTATTTTCTGTTTATCTAATACATTACTTGGGTTTATATCACATTTAGTTTACTGCATATTTATATAATCACTTCCTAGTAAATAAAATTTCAGGTGAAACAGACTGCTGCTAGAGTCAGCAAAGATACGTTAGAAAAAGAAACACTGACAGATGCACTCTAGTGCATCCATATTTATTAGGGGCAATGGAACAATAAAGTCAAGGAAATTGCAACCATCAGCAGAAATGCACGTGTTGCTGTTGCTGATGAAATGCATTTCAGAAGCAATATAAATTGGATATATTTCTCAGCTACAGTTCAGCTTGATTGTACTTTTTTTTCCCCACACAGAGATAAAAATGTATAGATAAAATATATACATACACACATCCAAAATAAATATTGCTTTTGACCAACATCCATTTTTGCACATCTTCTCTCTAAACCAAGAAAATATAGCACTTTTGATGTCACTTCCTTCAGAAGGGGATAAAATAGGTATATGTGTGATTTGATCTTATATTATGCATACTCTCCCTTCTGTTAGAAGGTGAGTAAATAGAGGACTGATGCTGTGGCATTACCATTTACCCTCTAATTAGTACTGCAGTACTGCCGATGCCTGTTACCTGTCAGGTCAGGGTGTTTTTTTTCTTTCAACACAGCCCAAAAGTTTTTTAGTTAGCAGCTCAGAAGGTTGCATGTATACATTGTAACTTAAGATCTAGCAGACTTCATTGTTCATTTGGTCATCCATCACCTACAGCAAACCTGTACACAGTTTCTTCTATATCACACAGCCAACTCATCCACAATCTTCAGAAGTTGTTTACAATATTCTCTAACTACAGCAAATTGCTTGCTGAAAGCATAACAACTTCCATCAAATACAAATACAATTAAGGTTCATACTGGAACACTGCAAAGTATTAAGTGCTATTGTACTTCAGATTTGATGGGTTCAAAGAGCTAATTTCAGAGCAACAAATGCTTAATGCACCAAGGAGAAACCGTTTCAACAATATCCTAAGGATTACAGGATACAATGCCTGTGACTTCATCTCCCAATTACCCTCAATTCTTAAACACCAAGCCAAGTAGTAACCTCTGAGAAGAAAGAAAAATTGCGTGCAAGAAAATTGATACTTATTAGAACTTCACAAAGAAGGTAACAGAAAGGAAGTCATCATTTACACCCACAGGATCCTCTGGCTGCTGTATGGCAATATGATAACTGATCCCTTTCTTTTTGATTTTGCTTTTTCTAAAATACAGCTTATTACTGCTGCAAGCAATTGATCAGTGTGTTTGCAGAACATGGAGGAAATGATTTATACACACAGGACTATGTATACACTACTTGTTTACTCTGAGCCCCATAAAACTTCGCACCTGTATTTAGAAATTTTAACATGATCTGCTCTAATCCCAAATGATGGAGACAGAGTAAACATTATGCCCCTTTAAGCAGCTCTCTGGAAAATGCGTTGTAATCCAAGGCACATTTCCATCCAATCAGTCTTGTTGGAGAGCCCAGTTATTCACAAATTTGTAAGTGCTTTCAGAGTAATTCAGGAAGAAGTGGATGAAATAGAGCAAATTGATGACTGCACTTTTAAACAGATCTGAGGTCCTGATTGAAGAGAAGCACCAGGAATTTCTGAGGTAGAGACTTGATGGATCAATAATATAAATGCAAGGATCAATAGGAACTAAGGTAAAGACTCAACACATTCCATTCTAATACAGAATTAAATATATTTATGTAAGAGACCTGATTTATATACAAGAAAATCTCTAAAATAAAGCCAGGTTTAAACACCAACATCAATTGTTAATTAGGTTTTGATGAGGAAAAAGAAAGACAAGAGAAGATGCATGAACTTTAATGTAACTCAAATCTTGTGCAAACAGTAAAAGACAGGTTAACGAGCCAGAAAAAACAACTGCCTCCTGATATGGCTTCTGCTAATTACCCATCCTAGACTTATTGGATTTTAGCCTAATTAAGAAACTTAACTAAAGGCCAGTCTACACTACAAATTATAACTATTGCACAGTACCTTGCTGGCTTTGTTGGACTATTGGTTCCTCTCAGGCAGTGTCTGCTGCAGAACCTCTATTGGATAAACTGTGCTTCTAAGCCCCAGCTGTGGGGCCAAGGGAAGCCATTTCATGACAGAAATACAAATAATAATAAAAAGAAATAATCCATCTCCTCATTTACAAGAAAGTTTATACAATTTAAACTTTTGATGTGCACGAGTTCAGGAGCTTATCATGCATAAGTGACGTGAGTACTTACTATTGATATTAAGGCTTCCTTACTGTTCAGAGTTAAGATTTTGGTCACTAAAGGGCTGTGAAAGAGCATAGCTGATTCCTTCTTTTTTATTGGCTCAAAGATTACTTTGTGAAACAACTGCGACTTCTGTAGGAGATGAGTGGTGGATGTCATTGTGTGTCAATTAACATCACTTTGTGGATTTCTTTGGACATGTTTGCCTTCAAAATTGAGGGGTCAGGAATGTTTATTGGCAGAAAATCTGTCCTGTGAGCAAATATCTCCAGCTTGGTATGGGAGACTGGGAGATGATAGTTCATTTTTAGGTTATTTTAATATGTTAGCAACACTTCAGTCTTTAAATG